CTGATGATATTATCTTATTTGCTAGAGGAGACATCCCGTCTGTTAGCAGTCTGATGAAGATTTGTAAGTCGTTTTCGCAAGCCGCGGGTCTCCATGTTCAGCCAGCTAAATGTCATGTATATTTCAGTGGTGTTCAACAAATGGTAAAACAGGACATCTTGCAGTTAATTGGATTTGGCGAAGGATGCCTGCCCTTCAATTATCTTGGTGTGCCCTTGGCTAGTAGGAAGTTGTCCATCCATCAATGTCAGCCGTTGATTGAGAAAATTACTAGGAGAATAAAACATTGGACTTCTAACCTCTTGAGCTATACTGGTAGATTCCAATTAATAAAAAGTGTCATCTTCACTATTTCAACTTATTGGCTGCAAGTTCTGCCTCTTCCTAAACAGGTTATGCAGAAAATATATGCAATTTGTCGTAGCTTCTTGTGGAGCGGAGCTTATGCTATTAGTAGAAAGGCTCCAATAGCGTGGGATTCGGTTTGTCAACCTAAAGTGGCTGGGGGTTTGAACCTTTGCAATCTGTCTACTTGGAGCCAAGCCTTCTTGGGAAGCTTCTTTGAAATATACACATGAAAGCTGACAGACTGTGGATTAGATGGTTGGGTATATTTCATTTCAAGGGGTGTAATATTCTAGTGTGGCAAGGATCCAATTCTAGCTCCTGGATTGTGAAGAGAATTCTCAAACACATAAACATTATTAGTAGGAATGAGTATTGGCATGATGCGTTTGCGAATGGGAAATACAACACAGGCTGTATGTACAAGGCGTTACGTGGTAATGTTCCCCATGTTAATTGGAAAAGACTTCTATTTGACAATTATGCTAGACCCAAAGCCAATTTCTTTTTGTGGATGTCTTTGTGGAGAAGGATCTCCACTAAAAGTGGACTGAAGAAATTTGGTTTTATTGATGATAGTTGTTGTGTATACTGTTCGAAGGAGGAAACAATGCAGCATCTTTTCTTTGATTGTCAGCACACAAAATATTTGGATGCAAATCTTGACTTGGCAACATATTAACCACTGTCCTCTTGAATGGGATCAAGAAACTCAGTGGATGATAGGCAGAACCAGAAGGAAAAAACTGTGTGGTTTTGTGCTGAAAATGGCTTTTACGGAGACTATATACGAGATCTGGCAGGATAGGAACTGTTTTATTTTTAATGGTAAGCACTTGGAGGGTAATATTGTAGATAGAATTCAACATATTATTAGAACTAGATGTAGTAAGCATAGGGTTCTAAATAACCATATTAATGGGCTTATTTAATTTAGTCCCTTGTAGATTCTTGAATCTCCGGATCAGTTGTACTTGACTATTTTTTGGTTAATAAAGTATTGTTTTTTCTCCACAAAAAAAATTATTTATTATAATTTTTTTAGATATCAAAATTAAGAAATCATATAAAATTTAAAATTATTTTAAATAATTTTATAAAAATTATTTTTAAGATATTTTTTGATATTGACTAATGTTTTAAGATCAAGATTGGTCATTAATCAGGTCAAGTAATGGGTCATTGAGTTATTGATCTGACCGTATAATTGTTGATTTATTATATATTAAAAATAAAAAATCTTAATTGACATAAAATTATTATTTTTTAATATTTTTAATAATATTTTTATAAAAATCATTTTTGGAAATAAAAAACATTTTTTAAAATTAAAACAAAAGGATCATCATCAAATATATCTTATAATATATTATTAAGAAAATATTAATATTTATATAATTAAGAAAATCACGCTTTTTTAAAACCACGGAATTTATTAGTATTTATATATGAAAAAGCTTAGAAATAATTTTTTAGGTATGATTTATATTATTTTCTAATAAAAATATAATAAATACATAATTTTATTTTACATATATATAATTTTATCTTATTTTCACTATTTAAAAAATATTTAAATATATTTATCACATGTTTATTAAAAAATTATATAAATTTCATGTAAAAAATTGTATCAAAATTTTCTCTTTTATATATATATCAAGTCTATATTAATTTTAAGGGAATTTTTGGAGTAAATTTTTTTACTGACTTTTTTGTGTAAAAGTACATATAATAGTAATGTTAATCAAATTATTGATTTATTTAAACTTTTCAAAGATTTTTTATATTATTACGTTTTATTTTATATTTTATTTTATTTTATATATTCACCTTGTTTTTTATAGTATTTTCTTTTAAATAATTAAAATTTTCAATTTTAATACTTAATTAACTAACTTTTTTTTTTACAATTTTCAATCTAACCACATTTCAAATAAAAAAATTGATTAAAGAGAAAATATTACTTAAATTGACGCATTTATATTTTTTTACTTTTAATTATCTGTGAATTTACCTGTGAATTTTGTGTTATTTCATAAATTTTTTATGAATATTTTGCGGATAGTGTCAAATTCGCATGTAATTAGAAAGAAAAAAAAAAGAATATATATATATATATATATATATATATATATATATATATATATATATATATATATATATATATATATATATATATATATATATATATATATATATTATATATATAAAAGAGGCGTCAATTCAAGTGGTGTTTTTTCTTTAATCTATTTTTTTATTAAAAATATGATTGGATTGAAAATTATGAAGAAAAAATCGGTTAATTAGATATTAAAATTAAATTTTTTGATTATTTTAAAAAAAGTTTCTTTTTTATATCTACAAATCTATCCAACATGACAATTCATTATTGTTATTGAATTTATTTGTACTTATCGTTTGTTAGCAATTTTTCCATTTTTCCAACACATTCATTTTATTTTGATATTTATAACATATCAATTTTTTTTCGAAATCTTTAATGTATGTCCGCTTATATCTTTGAATGTTTTTTGATTTGATATATTATTATTATTATTATTATTATTATTATTATTATTATTATTATTATTATTATTATTATTATTATTATTATTATTATTATTATTATTATTATTATTATTATTATTATTATTATTATTATTATTATTATTATTATTATTATTATTATTATTATTATTATTATTATTATTATTATTATTATTATTATTATTATTATTATTATATTATTATTATTATTATTATTATTATTATTATTATTATTATTATTATTATTATTATTATTATTATTATTATTATTATTATTATTATTATTATTATTATTATTATTATTATTATTATTATTATTATTATTATTATTATTATTATTATTATTATTATTATTATTATTATTATTATTATTATTATTATTATTATTATTATTATTATTATTATTATTATTATTATTATTATTATTATTATTATTATTATTATTATATTATTATTATTATTATTATTATTATTATTATTATTATTATTATTATTATTATTATTATTATTATTATTATTATTATTATTATTATTATTATTATTATTATTATTATTATTATTATTATTATTATTATTATTATTATTATTATTATTATTATTATTATTATTATTATTATTATTATTATTATTATTATTATTATTATTATTATTATTATTATTATTATTATTATTATTATTATTATTATTATTATTATTATTATTATTATTATTATTATTATTATTATTATTATTATTATTATTATTATTATTATTATTATTATTATTATTATTATTATTATTATTATTATTATTATTATTATTATTATTATTATTATTATTATTATTATTATTATTATTATTATTATTATTATTATTATTATTATTATTATTATTATTATTATTATTATTATTATTATTATTATTATTATTATTATTATTATTATTATTATTATTATTATTATTATTATTATTATTATTATTATTATTATTATTATTATTATTATTATTATTATTATTATTATTATTATTATTATTATTATTATTATTATTATTATTATTATTATTATTATTATTATTATTATTATTATTATGTGAAAGTAATTTTATTTATTAGGTACTTTGTTAATTTTTTAATTGGATCATTATTTAGTATAATATCATTATTGTTTTTTTATGAATAAAAAGGAAATAAATAATTCAATCGCTAACATCTATTTTTATTTAAATATTATACATTAATGTGATTTAAAGATAAAAAATAGTTTTTTTAAAATATTAATTTACAATTTTTAAGGCAATACATCTGTTTTATTTAATATTATATGAGCTTGATAAAATGGGTCCAGATTCGGCAAGTCGAATATTTTGTTGTACTCGTATTTTTTTGAATAATAGATTAAAATATGCATCTTCTAATATGATTGTTTTATATATTTTTTTTTTTCTCAGGACTTTTATGAACACGAAAATAAACATGAAAATTTTACAATTTAGTATTTTCTATCTATTAAAAATTAATTGTATGAACTTTTTAAATTGTCTTTTATCGCAAATTATTTACACTAACAAAAAGACATTTAATAGATGAGGTTTACTTTATTCATTCTCATCTTGTATTATAACACGACATGTGTCATTCATTTTTCAACTTTAGCCAATTAAATCACAATTAAATATTACATACATTCATTTTCTCTCTTGATTAAAATTTCAAATGTCTTTGACATTTTCTCTCTCATACTTTCTCATTTTTATTTTATTTTTTTCTCTATTTATTTATTATCACTAAAATTATTAATAATATATATTTTTTATTTTAATAAAATTAAAATTTTATTTATCTTACCGGTCATTATCAACACAATATCTATTTTATTTTAATCAA